GATATATTTACTTTAGTCAAGAATTTGTGGAAAAGGCAACTCTCACTCACTCCTCACTTAAGCCAGGAACTGTTTAGATTTTCAATACAATTAGGATTCTGCTGCAGTTTTGACTGTCTCTTGACAAAATTACTTCTAAATAAGCCTATTATTAAAACTAGTTTTTAAAACAATGGAAGTCAATATTGTCCATAGACATATTTTCTTTGGCGTAAGTGTTCATCTATACTAATGATTTGAGCATTTCCAAACAGAGCTCACACTTTGGATTTTACTGCAGTTCTTACTAATTTGTGTCAATCCCTGAATTGCTTCTACCACTGAATTTGTATACTGACCTTCTGAAGATATGAACTCTGGTTAAAATCTCAAGTGACTTTTATTCTATTTTATATTTAAATTCCTTTAAAATTAATTCAACATCTATTTTTACACATGTTTATGTGTGTATATTCATACATATGTATATATGTATGTGTCTCATTATGCTAGACAATGTTGATAAAATTTAAAACCTCACAAGTAAAACTAATGATAGCAATAATATTTCACAGTGCCTTACTGTGATGGCTAATCTTTGTTGTTAACTTGACAACATCTGGAATCAACTAAAACCAAGCAATTGAATGCACCTGTGTGGAATTTTCTTGAATGAGTCATTTGAGGTAAGAAAACCCATCCTAAATCTAGGCCACACCTCCTGGTGGTAACCTACACATAAAAGAACATGGAAAAACGAAGCTTTTGTTTTTTGGGTTTTTTTTTGTTTTTTGGTTTTTTTTTTGTCTGCTTGCCCCTACTCTCACTGACATCCTTTTGCTGAAGCATTCCTTCACTAGTATTAAAGCCTACTTCTTCAGAATTCCAATGCAGACTGAAAACCAGCAAATCTCTAGGAATTCCCTGGGACTTCAGCACCAAATTGAGACTGCTGAGACATTCAGTCTCATGGGCTAAACATTAAGGGATTCTTGACCTTTCAGTGGTGAGACAGACATTGTTGGACCACCAACTCCACAGCTAGTAAGTCACTCTAATTAATCCCATATGTGAGTATGTATGTATGTATGTATGTATGTATGTGTATATATGTGTATATGTATGAGTGTGTGTGTGTGTGTATACATCTTCAGTTTTGTTCCTTGAGAGAACTCTGACTAATACACTTACTGAACTGGTCATATAAACATTTGTACTTAACATCAAAACATAATTCATTGGGAGAACTGACTTGTGTTTAAGTTTCTCTTTTGACAGTTTTTCTTGCATTACTTTAGTCAATACATCTTTAATCTTTACAAATATGTTGAGATCACAGGATAAATAAATACTAGAGGCCATAGGAATGAGAAGAAGGAACAGTAAAACTAGATAAGAAACAGGTGTCCAACCTGAAGGAGCCTGTTGACCATGCCCACGCCCTAGAACTCAATGTAAAAGGCAGTCAAGACACCCTAGCAAATGCAGGTGGTCTGAAAATATATGAATTGATGAGGAACAGTAATGACTGTAAAAAAAAGGGGGGATTATCAGAGGTAAGAAGTTTTATGCGTGGCTTGTTTTAGAAAAAGAAGAAAGTGCTAGAGTAGGCAACAACCCCCCCCACAGGAATAGAGTAGAATCAAATAACGGTGAAAATGTTCACCTATACTAAATGTTGACATGACATTCAGCAAGGAAACAGAATTTGGTGCTATATTGTTAGTGACAACAGAGACAAAAATGGAAGGGGTAAATTGAGAGAAAAATTTAAAATGTAGAAAATATCTTAAAATCACAATATATAAAAGTGAGAAAGAATAATTCAATTTGTAACTCAATTGTGTTGTTTTGAGCTATGAATTTATAGATGACAATGTCATGTGGACATGTAGAAAGGTTGAGCACAGCTGCCAGGGCAGGAAGTCCTTGAGAACGAAAATAACTGGATTTGAGGGTTTCCTATGCCTAGGGGAATATGGATGAGTTCTCTAGGATAATAAAAGCATATTAATGAATGAAAGGGAGACCAACACTCACCCAAATTTTGTAGACAATTAAGGAGATAACCACATGACAAAATAACAAATGAATCATGTGTGACATGTCCATTTGGCAATAATACATAAGAGTAGATATATCCACCCAATCATGTATACATACATACATAAATAAATGTATATATATATACATATATATATATATATATATGAGCTTAATTGGCATTATCCTATGCAAAGGACGAGGTGACTCTCAATAGCTATAGGCTGCCAAATAAAAAGTCCAGTGCCAGGTATGAGAAAGCTTTATGTACTTAAGATTAAAAAAATCTTATCAAATTGTTTTTAGTGAGATTGTCATAATTTGATTTACACCCTAGCCAGAACCTTCCACTTTATATGGAGATTATGAAGACTTTTAAAAGGAAGTTAGGAGATGATAAGAGTGATTCAAACAAGCATCTGGTTTCTGTTATTATAGAAAAGGAAAAATGTGAAGCTGTTTGGGAAGTTGAGTTTACAGCATTTAGCAATTAGTTGTGGAAGGGGAAGGAGCAAAATAAAATAAATAATAATGAAAACTAAGAGGATTCAATAACTGAATGGATGTTGCCATTCACTGAGCTAGGAAATAGCTCAGAAAGAACAGGTTTATAATTATCACTGAATATCATAAATGTTCATTATTAAACATGGTGGACTGGGATTGTCTATTTCAATTAAGGACTTGGACACATAGGTATAAATTTTGATAGAACTGGGCCTGGGTTGTTAACTATGCTGATCTCCCAAATATGGAAAACTTAGGACACTATTTATTTTACAACTAGGAAATCCTGATTTGTACTAGATGGAGTATGAAATCTTTCCCAAATTGACATGTCTGTGGTCTCTGCAACCAGGCCAGCTGTAGCAGAATGAGAACACAGTTTCCCAGAATGAAGAAGATCTAAATTGTCCTCATTTTACAGATACTTATTTAAGTCAATATAGCTCAAGACTATACAGTCATTTCTAAAGCATCCCACGACTGGCAATTTGCATTTGCAAGAAGACTAAGATAGGGCTCATTTTATATCATGTTCATCTTTAAAAAGGCTCTGTTAATTTGCGGTACATTATCAGTATAAAATTATCAAGAAAGCTGCCATTTCAATAGGGCTAGTACTTGCCCATCTGGGCAGATCCATATCACAACAGTTCTCTAACAGACATATTTTGTTATAAAAATTTTTTAAAAATCCCAAATCTTATTTTACCTCTATAGAATTTTTTCAGTTCACTTTCTCTTTGATTTTTATCCCAAGTTTTTGAAAGCCTTCAAATTTTGACATCAATCCAATTGCTGAGCATAAAACCAAAAAATGCACATGGAAGGAACAATATTAACAATGTAAATATACATTTGTAAGGAAATCAAAGATAACATACATACATACTGAAGATATACAATGTTACATGTCTAACACTCTTCCTGAGGAAGGAATAAATCTTTCTACTTGTTCTAACTAAATCTGTATTTTAAAGATATAACTACCTCTCAGATGTTATTTAATTGCTGCTTCTCACTACTTAAGCTCTTAAAAGATTTCTTACATACCAATTACAAGGAACATACCTATAGACATCTTTTTTCTTCATATCTTAATTATAAAGGTCTTCTTTGAGCTAAAATATTTTCCCTGCTGAAGAATAATATGACATAATAAAAATAGTCCCAAATTTAATGGCTTAAGGCAGTAAGATTTCTATGAGCTTATAAGTCTCCAAGTCAGCAGATCAGGTTAAGATCTGATGAGCCGGCCTTACGAAGGCTAATATATATATCCAATAATTATCAAGCTATCATCAAGGTGGAGGCTATACTTATGACCTTTTCATTCAGAGGACCAGCCTAAGCCTTGTCTACCAGAAAAAGCTAAAGAGGAAGAAAAAGCATACACTACCATTAAGTACTTTTCCAAAACTCTACTTGACACAAGTTTTCTACCGAGGGAACAAAGCAAGTCCATGGGAAATTACTCAAGAGCCCAGTGGCTCAGAATCTGAACAGTGGGGTGACTCCTCCTCCTTAGCCACAGGTTATCAGCACACCCAGACTGTACCTTTTAAAGCATCTGTGTTTATTACTTGCTAGTGAACACTATTTTATCTGTTAATTGATGAACCTTTCACCTGTAGCTCCAAAATTAAACAGACATGGAAATCTCTGGAAACCTTCTGTTCTTGAAGCATTGACTGTTTATGTCCAAGCTAAAATATCAGAGGTAAAACACAGTAAATTGCACACTGGTCTTGATTGACTATCTGGCAAGTATAATTCAGCAACATAGTCATAGAAATTATAAATATTAGCTGGACTAATAGTATTAGTCATCATAACCTAGCTCTTGCTACCCATCTTTTTAAGAGTCTCTACTTCTCAGAAAATAAGAGTGTTCACCATCACATGACCACATCTGAAAATTGAAGTTTTAATTTGTAAAGGTTATAAGCCCTTCTCTCTCTCTCTCTCTCTCTCTCTCTCTCTCTCTCTCTCTCTCTCTCTCTCTCTCTCTCTCTCTCTCTCTCTCTCTCTCTCTCTCTCTCTCTCTCTCTCTCTCTCTCTCTCTCTCTCTCTCTCTCTCTCTCACACACACACACACACACACTTCAAGGATAACTGTTTTGGCTCTTAAGAAAACAGGCTACAAACGTCCCATTAAAACAGAATTCAAGAGTTTAATTGGGGTATGGGGGCGTGGGGACAGGGGGGGGTGGTTACTGAAAGAAAGTAAACAAACACTGTTAGATCTCTTTCTCTTGAAGAGCTCTTTCCAGAAGATGTTACAATAGTAGCCATTAACCGAAAGAGTATTTTCCTCTGAAATTTCTGTTTTGCTTTATTTTTCTAGATTCCAAGATACGCAAGCACTGGCACAGCACTCACTTGTCTCATTACGAACAAATACGCAAACAAAAGGAACACAATTTCAACAGCAAAGATTGCACACAAGTTCAGTCTTCCGGAAAATGCTCCAAAGTACTGCGGAATTTTCCACTTGCAGAAGCTTTGTTGCCATTTCTCCTGCCACATCTGCTCTTCATTTGAAGTTCTTCCCCCAACATGCAGGGAGCAAAGGGGACAAACTGTTGTTAAGAATTCTAGAAGCGTCTCCTCCCTTTGTAACCGAGTAGAAGCTATTTTACAAATCCAAAATGGGTTTCATTTTGAAAGAAGCTGTGTTCAGATTCTGAGCTGGATCCCTCTGCGGGCATCCATCCTCCTTGTGATGCGGGGCGGGCACTGGTAGCTGGGGTCTGATGTGGATGAGGCAGCATGCTGTTTATCTCGCTCTCACATCACTTCAGCCTGCTCTTACAGAGATTGCTGCAACAAGCTCCTTTAAGCTCCAGTTCCCATCCTCTTATTCTCCCTAACTCCAGCTATTACATAAACGTCGCAAAAAAAAAGCCCAAACTACAAGGGGCGGCGGGGGGTGTTAATTAGAGGCATGGACCATCATGGACAGCTTTCTATCAAGTCTGCCTTCTCTCTTTGTAAATACGGAATTTGCTTCTTGAGTTTCTGAAAAGAAGTCCCACCTGGATTTCTAGAATAAACCATGGCAGAGCCTTGGCAAGATAGAGGCAGAGGGTGGAGGGGGTTTTATTCTACTGGCACAGATGCTTTCAGCTTTAAAACAACCTCCTACTTCTTAATCCCTCCCCTCAGGTTCCTGCCAAGCTCTCTGGAAATCTGAGTTTTGGACACCCTCCAACACCACATCTCATCCATATGCCTGCCACCAAGGAAGACATTCCGCAGGCTCTTTCCTTCACTCCACGAATGATTCATGTGGTAAGATCTTAAACATTAGCTTACTGAACGAGGGACCTACTGGCTTGAAGTTATCTGACGTCAATGCACTGTTTTAGGGGTATGTATCTACCGCTGATTGCTTAGCCAGAAAGTACGATAGCATTCATCTTACCCAACAGCATCCCTTCTTTTTACTCATACTTCTGAGATAAAAATCCAAAGTCTTGTGCATACAAGGGAGACAGTCTAGACCTGAGCTACACCCTCAGATCCCTGTACTCCTTTCAGAGAGTCTTTTCTGAGACCCACTTCTATTAACAATACCTTAGCTGGTTTCAAGAAGGGAGAATTGATCTTTTGCTAGCTATAGTGTAACATTTACACCAGGAAAAGTAAATGGAATGTTAATCCCATTATTTTTCTCCAAGTGAAATAAGGCATATTAAAATTTTCTTTTACTGACCACAGCAAGATTATATCCCAAAACGCCCAAAGAAATGTTTGGTAATTAAAATAAGTGGAAATAGCTAAGTCACAGAGTACAGCTGACCCTTCACATCCATGGGGTTCATATGGGCATGCTCAACCAGCTGCAGACTGAAAATATTCAGGAACAAAAATGATCTGTTTTCAGAATATGCAGACTTTTACCCTTGTCATCATTCCCTGATCAAAGCAATTCTAAAACTGTGTACAGGGTCTCCTTATTACAAGTAAGATGGAGATAATTTAAAAGATGTTGGGAGGGTATGGGAAGTTTTAGATAAGTGACTTGGGCATCTGCAGGTTCAGGTACATGGGAGAAGTCCCAGAGATAGACCATATTCAGACTGAGGGACAAGGTCATCTCTAGTACACCAGAACACAGCTCCTACTTAGCTACTCAGCAGTGTTTTGCTTTGTTTTAGTGAGTGTGTGTATGTGTAGTGGATATGCATATACCTGCTTGTGTGTGTGTGTTCATGAATGTGTGTGTGTGATCATATTCATGTATGCACGTGCAAGTGGAGGCCAGATGTTGTCATCAAATTTCTTCTTCTACTGCTCTCCACCTTACTTATTATTTGTTTGTTTTGAACAGAGTCTCTAGCCCAACCTGGAGACAACTGACTCAGTGAGACTGGCTGGCTAGGGAGTTGCCTCTCTCCACCTTTCCAGGACTGAGGATACAGATGTGTTCTTTCCTGCTGAGCTTGTAGGTGGGTGCTCAATCACTACCACAGCCCTCAAGCTTCTGTAGTAAGCACTAAATGCACCAGGCATTCCTCCAAGTCCCCCCTCCCCACTGCTGAGGAGTAACTGGAGTCACCATAGCTTACAGAAACTCCGTAGATGCTGTAATGTCCTCTTGTTGTGGTTTTTGCTTTGGGTTTCTGTTTTGTCATTTTAGCTTTGTTTTATTTTGAGATAGAGTTTCATGCAGTCCAGACCAGCCTTGAATTTCCTATGTAGCTCAAGCTGACCTCACTCTAGTAACTCCTGCCTGTGCCTCCTTGGTACTTGCATAATAAGCTTTTATTCTTATGTGAAATATCTTACCTCTAAACATTAGCCATTATTTAGGACAAATATAAACCCTCTCTAAAGCAAATGTAGCTGTAAACAAGATTTGTCGTACAGTTTCAAATTTATAACCTTTGACCAACTTTATCTAAAAGTATTATAAATACTTTGACAAGAAATGAAATGAAGAAAACGCAAGTTAAACTCTGCTATCAAGAAAATTGTTTTATTTTACATAACAGAAAAAGAGTGGGAGAGCCTACAGAAAGAGGGTTATTAGTCAAAAATCTTGGTTCAACCAACCCTGAACTGTGAAACCTGAGAACATTACTTGAATTCTCTCAACTTCTGTTTGCGAAATGATGGAAGTACTGTTTCCTTCCTGTGGTTGTTGTAAGAAGGCAACATGCAGTTTAAATCATTTGCTTTGTTTTGTAGTTCCTAGTACAAGACAAGTATGTGCTGTTCATTCATCACACTATTATGTGTGTGGATGTGCACTTCAGATCTTACAGCCAGCAGAAACCTTAGATAAGGCTGTCCTGTGATACAAGCATTTTCTTTCAGTCCAGTTGAACCTGCTCAAGTCATATGTCTACAACTACACCAATAAACAGGCATCAGGAGAGCACAATCAGGTGATGCTGAATTCATACATGGAACTAGGGACTCATTCGTCTTAGCTTCCTTGATTGGAAGCTATACAAAATAGAGGTCCTTGTAGGATTATTAAAATAGGAAATAGAAGCTGGTTTGTCTGTTACAGACTTCTGCATGATAAACTATGTGGATTTTTAAGTGAGCAAGTAATTTTTATCTTTCTTCAATGAACACATAATCTATGCATTTTGCAGGCCTCTGTGCTTTTCCTTAATAGAACTAATTATGCATAAATATTATCAAATAATTCTTATTAACTAATTACAAATTACTCATATAAAGAGTGATTCAATTTGCATCAAGTTAAGAGATTTTTAAAGTCAAATAATACATGCATAACACAAAGTATTATCTATTTAGCTGCCAACAGTTATTGTTCACTGTTCTGAATAAACCTGGTAGTTTTTCCAAATTTAAGGGAGCATCATTTACTCCACATGGCTTAGGTTGCTCCTCTGCTGTCAGAGAGTATACTCTCTCCTTTCTGAAATGTTTTCCTCGGTCCAAAGACTTCCCCTTCATAGCTTGGAACATGCTCAAAGATCAGAACATAGCATTCATTGACTTAGTGTGCTGTCAGAGTCCACCTAGTGGAGCCAGGAGCTCTCCATTCAAATCCTTCCTGTTTCCTCTGACCCACTCATTACTTCTGTGGCCTACTGAGTGTGAACCAGACCTAGGGTCTCATTTCTTATATGTAAAACAGTTAATTGGAGAATTTTTTGCAAGATTGTTTTCATGACAAGGGCATAAGAACTAAAATTGCACCCATTGCATAAGAAGGACTTGGCACATATAAACTAATATTATTAGTCTTTTGAAAACATACCTTACTTTGATCCAGTAAGATTCACCTGATTGATTACTTTAAAGTGTTTAAAGTACCTCTTCATCTTGTCATACATTTTGATGCTAAATTAGTAGGAATCCAGATTATCTACTCTTTTTAGTGTCCTCCATAGTAACAGGGCATTTTCTGTATTGTAACAGTTACTGCACAAACACTGTCGTATTAAGCTATTGAGAAGGCAGCTATTCAATTGTTTTAAGTAGGATAAAAATGTTCATTAGGACATTTTCACACACACATATCATGGTGCCTTCTTCATATCCCTCCACAATTTGCTCTCCCCTGTCCCTTTCTCTCTCATCTGACTTACCCCTTCCTTCTCCCAAAGAGTCCTCTGTGCTTTCATGTCATGCACATTTTGTGTGTGTCCTAAAATGTCTGAATTTCCTTCCCTCCCTCCCTTAGGCCTACATTTATTTCATTTAAATGTTCAATATGTACTGAGGCTTATAAAAAGCATTAAAAACTTATCCATGATGAAATATACCTTTAAAAGCAATCACTTTTCCAATTAAGAAGTGTTATCCAAAGCCTCCAGAAGACCCAAGAGGAGATGCTAGTTTCAAATGAGTGACATGACTTGTCCCAGATCCTATAGAGGTGGGGACCTGTGTGCTCTTATCCTCTTGGGAAGGCTGCAATACTCAAATGCACTTCCTCTCTGAGTTCTCATCCTGTTACCAAAGGATTCCCTCTACTCCCACCATGGAGCATGGAAATGACAGGTTCTCAAAAGAAAGTAATAATTATTATTGTCGTTTCAGCAAGAAATTTCCTACATTTCTACAAAGAATACTTGTTACAAGGTTGCTTCCTGCATAGCAAAGATAGGGGCTCATCTCTACCAGCTTCCTGCATAGCAAAGATAGGGGCTCATCTCTACCAGCATATAGGGACCAGCAGAACAAGGGTGACTCCCCTAAGTACTGGCTCTGTCCTGGTACTGTTGCTTGATCATCACAAATCAGATTTTGACAATGGGGTGGCTGAGACATTGCTTCTCTCTTAAGCCTTCAGCCAAGGGGATGTTGGAACAGTCAAACACCTGTTCCCAACTCCTCTTAGAGTCCACCTAAGCTCCAGGCACTTTTTATAATTGATATGCCCAGTATGGGTATCTTTTCAGAAATTCTCCACTTGAAGAAAACATTGTCTCTAATCTCTAATGTGTGGGTGTAGGGGTCCTGCCCCTAAGCATACCAGGAAGGGGAGGGGAAATTGGATGCAGTACATGTTCTATTGTTTTTGCTGAGCTGTAAATAAGAAATCAAAACAACACCCAGTTTCTTCTTTATTGTCCTGTTTAAGACTGCAGTAAAATTTCTCTTTTATTTGCTGGATCTCATGAAGGTGGTGATGAAATCGGTCTTTACCCAACTTTGAGTAGTCACAAAACTATGAAACTTTTATCTACTATTGCAAAGGTTGTGAGTGTCCCAAGACTCTCTAGTGAGAATAAGTAAATAATCCATGTAAGAGCAGGAAGCTCCAATCTCTGTGTTTCTCAGGCCTTGATATTACATAAGACCCACCTGCAAAGCTTGTGGAAGTGCTCATTCCTCATCCCATCCCAAAATCCTGATTTGGATCTGAGGCAGGGCCAACTCCATCTTGAGAATTCTATGTAGGGTTGGGCTTAGGGGAGGCCATCTGGTTGGAAGAGGAAGCTGGGAGGTTTGCCATGAGGCTGTGTTTGCAAAGCAAGCACACTCATTTTAACTTAGTGTGTATGTGACAGATCAGTATCAATATTAAAGTTTCCTAAATTTTCACTCACACTTTAGATAAGAGTGATTCAATTGGCTATATTAAAATGAATTTCTTTATTTGGGATGGGGCAGTTGATGGGGATCAGTGTGACTTCTGCTATAAGAATTATTATTGAATGGACTCCAGGCATCTGTCTTTCAGCTATCTCAGAGTAAGGGCTGGTTCATTCATTAATTCATTGAAGGAAATATTTGTTGAGCTGTGAATATGCACCAGGCAATGATCTAGGTGTATTTTTCAGACACAATAATAGTAACAATCAATAATAGTAAAACCAGGTAAACAAGCCTTCCCAGACAGGTTATAGTGAGTCAATGAATAATAAAAATGATGTGTGTAAGGAAATGATGTGTTATGTTAAACTTGTTGGTAATTTTGAGAAACATTCTTTAATGAGACGCCTCTCCGACACACACTGAGATTCTTACTAGGGCAGCTCCTAGGGAGGCCAACTTACTAGCGCTAGATGTGCCTCTCCAGACTTACAAAAGTGACAAATGCCAAGCTTGTGTGGGTTTGGAGGGGGAGATGTGTATATGTGCATGCAAGTTTACACTTAAACACCTTATGGACTATTATCAAAACTTGCATGGGCGCCTTTAGATTTTTCCATGGAGTATCCTATACAAAATGTACTGCTGCCTTTCCAAGGAGTTAAACCTTTTGAAATCCATGAAGGGACAAGTCATTGTGAAATGAAGCCATTTCATAAATAAACATTTATAAAGTCAACAGACCCATATACACAAATCACCGAAACTATAAAAGATGGCCCAGTGACTCCCTTTTTCCCATATAGGGACTTAAGGTATTCACTTAGAAAGCTAAGGAGCAATGAAATGACTTTATACTAATTCCCTTAATTTAATCATACAAAATGTCAGGACAATGTCATTTAAAGCCCTTTAATGATTTTTAAACAAATGGTCCCTGTAGCAGGAAAATAGTTGAACTAACATTGCTAACATCAATTTAATTTCTTTAGAATTGAATTATTAAATGAGCCCAACCTATCACATTTACTTTTCAAACTGTGCCAGGAAATACCTGAGGACCTCTCAGAGAAGTCTAATAGGATCCTTCACCCTGTCCATCAGTTCAGGAGAACTGTAATAATGTTTGAATTTAATAAATTCTACTTGATACATAGGGAAGGAACCATTATCACTATGTATGTCTCTCTACAGCCTTCCTTTGTGAAGATTCCAAGCCCAATTTATCAACACCAGAAACTTACTTAGCATGGCTGCAAATTCTATATATATTTTTTCCAATGTTAATGTGAGTCATCATAGCATATCTCCTTAACCATATGTGCTAGAGCGAAGGACAGACAGTTATTTTAATATTCCTGGCCTAGAATCCTTCCCACAACAAACACATTTGATGCTCATACATGGTCCCTTTCTTGCCGACACTCACGCCTGTCAAAATGGCATGGTGCCTACTCAGCATATGGACTGCTAGCTTTTCTCACTGGGGCACAGTTGCCAAAGAAAGATGGGTTAAGCTGGGCACTCTGCATAGTGAAGCAGGTGACAGCTCTGCTGCTCCCCATCATGTGGCTGTAAATCCTCTAAGCACTTACCACTCCATACCCTGTATTTCATGAGAACAGGAAGAAGAGAGGGCTCTTTAACTGTGTCCTTCTACTTTCTGACAATTTTCACCTGGTATCTTTGTTCCTGATACCTTCTATTCGTGGACAAGAGAGCTACCTCTGCCAAAAGCATGCTAGAGTTTTAAAAAATCATTTGGAAGCACACAGTTATAAGTAAAGTAGCTAGCTAGCAAAGGGATTAATATGGATATATTCATATGTGCAAACACAGAGAGAGAGAGAGAGAGACAGAGACAGAGACAGAGACAAAGAGTCAGAGAGACAGAGAGGAAATTTGTGTTGTTTCTACCTGGCTTCTAATTTTCTGCCTTCAATAGTCCACAGCTGAGCAGCCCAGCAGCACCAAGGATTGAGATAAAAACCAAACAATTGTTTAAAGTCTTTCACAAATAGAGCTGACCCCTTGCGTGAATCCAATGAATCATTTCCTCTCTAATCAGGCTACATCCTGTTTGGCTTGCAGTTTTATTTCAAAATTTCCAAGTCAACTTTTATTTGTCCAAAGGAGTTTGTTTTGGCTATAGCAAAAATGTATCCAGTTTCCCCAAACAAAGGCTTATACTTCATGTCTTCGGTTGTAGTCATTCTACAAGTAACCCAAATGAGGTGGCTGACTTCAGCACAGAGACTAAAGGCACTGATTATTTGCCACGTTTAACAAGTATCCAAATTAGAAGTTTTCCCAGTTAGTGTGTGTCCTGGCCTGTGGGGCCATGAATTAGTCAATTAAGAGTCACCAATGCCTGCTCTATGTCAGGAAGCTTTAGAGCAAGGCTTTAAGTGAAAGTGACCACGTTTCCCCGATATAGGAGTCCTCATCGTCTCTATTTTAGAGAAACCTCATCAGTGGGCTCTATGTGGAATCAAGCTGGCACTTTTCTTTAATAATAAAAGTAGCCAACATTCATTAAAATCTCATCATTGCTCTTAAGCCCTTCTGCATGGGCTAGTGAGACATCTCAGTGCGTAAAAGCAGGTCTGGGGACCTAAGTTTGATTCCCCAGACCCCAAGGGATAAAAGGAGAGGATCAACTCCTTTAAGTCCTTCTCTGCCCTCTCCTTGCATGCCATGGCACATGTGGGCATGGTTGTGAGTGCACACACACTACATAAAAGATAAAAAATACATTAAAACAAATTCTTTAAATCCTGTGCAGTCCACTTTAGCCATGGACATGAGGAATGTCAATCAGACTCTAAAGAAATCAACACACTGGGAAGTTAAGTGATTTATCCAATACCACAACTCACACCTAACAGGTGAGACTGGACTTCAAGTCTTGAGAGCCTTACTCTAGGGGTATCTTTCTTGACCAATACTGGGTGGATTTTGTATATATTTCAATCTGTTCTCTATTCTTAGACCTTGCTTATGTCATCAGGATCCAGTACTTTCTGGGGTAAGCATTATTTCCTCATACTGCCACTCCGACCAGAGTCCTATCCCTCTTCATTTCCAAAAGAATAAATCTCAGATGGTCAACTCAGCACTCAAGATGTCAAATATTTTCTGGGTTCTATCAAGCTTTTGGGTTTGACTCTTTCAATATGATCATATGTGTTCTATCCTTAGTCTTTATGCAACTACCCACGTGTTTGCTTTTGTTGCTACTTAGAGACATACTTGCTGCCTCATCTCTATTCACAAGGCTCAACCATCAAGCAGTCTCATCTTATACATCATGCTCTGTTCACTTCTTCTCAATTTCAGTAAACATCATGTAGAAACAGCACTCCTGGTTGTCACCATGCACATTCAGAATTTTGAACATGTGCCACATACTATTCTTAGGTATGTGTGTTTAATCTACTTAATTAGAAAGGATCATGTCTTGGGTTTCTACAACATGTCATAGCACCTACTGTATTTTTAAAGCAATTCCTTCACTGTTCTCCAATAATTCCCCCATCACTATATCCCTATATGTTTCATTCACTGAAAGTAACTCTTAAGAGTTGAACTGTAGCCAGGCGGTGGTGGCACACACCTTTAATCCCAGCACTCGGGAGGCAGAGGCAGGCAGATCTCTGTGAGTTCGAGGCCAGGCTGGACCGAGAGCCTCCAAAACAATACAGAGAAACCCTGTCTCGTAAAACCAAAAAAAAAAAAAAGAGTTGAACTGTAAGTACCCAGTGTGATCACTTTACAAAGGCTTCTCTTCTACCCAGTCCTATGTACATCATTCTGAAAGGTCAGCATCAATGAAGAAACAATATGCTTCAGCAATAGACTTTACAAAGACAAATTCCTAGCCAACATCATGTGTTACAAAACAGCAATATTTCGATTTCTCAATAGTTTAACTACCTAAGTCCAGAAAATGAAGGCTATTAAACTTACTCCAGCTTCAAACAGAGTACCTGTCATTTACACAAATAAACTATCAAGAATGGTAACTAACATTATCATATTGTATTTTCTATGTTCAATTTTAATAGGTAGCTTGTTACTTAGAATTAATATAAATTCCATTTAATTGTATGTATCAGGAAAATGCTAGCATTCCTAGGATGGTTTTTCTGTAATACTAACAAGAGTCCATAAGTGACAGCTGAGTTCTCAGGGCTTTTTCAACTCTTTGATTTAGGGAATCCAGATTCTTTGCCCGAATACCCCACTGTGGTCTTATTCTCTCTTGCACATTTTGGAAGCTCTCCAAGTGTAAAACGGTACAACATATGCAGCCTGCAAGCAGGGCAGGCATAAAAAACACCATAAGGCTACACAAGCAAACTTCAACTGTGGAATGCTGGGAAACAATCACAGGCACTTCACCAACTTGGCATAAAACAATCAGAGGATGAGGTGCCTCTTTCTGAGCAAAAGCATCATCCTGGCAGAGATGCAGGGAAGACCACAAAGATAGAAATATTGTGCCCTGAATTTGATGCTGCTAGCCAAGAGCTATCTGCAGAGGTGCTTGCACAAAAAGGACTGACAGCTATTTTCCACATTTATATCCTTGTGCCTGGAAACACAGGTCCTGTAACATACTCTTCCATGAGAACAACATCATTCAAAGGAAACCTGCTTTCTCCTTTCATTTTTACTCTTCCTGTTGACCCACAAGAATGCTTAATATCAACCCTACAAAAACAGCCTACCACGACCCTCCTTTCCTGAACAGTCTCAGTAACTTATGGCACTTACGTTGTTATACTATGTTTACTTGTGGGATCACCTTCCAATATACACAGACAGCATCCTCAGATCATAGACCATGTCATTTTCATTCACTCTCACATCCTGGGTGACCATATACATGATCTGCACATCAAAGGTCACATATGGAAGTTTGCTGGAAAATAGTGAAAATAGTTTTCATCATGCATTTCATATCTATCAAGTTCTGTCAATGTGCATTATTCTAAGAACTTGATATATCAAATAATTATAATATATAGAGGAATTCAGAAAGTGTGGACAAATAAAACGTAAATAGGTTGTACTTGGTGGTGTATCACAATAAATCATTCAGGGCAAGGAGATGGGGAATCTTTGAGATAGGTTGTAATATTAAATAGGGTAGTTAGAAGTAGTCTCACTGGGTAGATTTATAAGGGGCTAAATCAGGTAGGTGATCAGAGGGCAGGACAGAGGCAGGATTATAGAGAACAATATTTAACATTAAAGAATTTGGGAAATGCGTTATGGAACTCTACCACTATTGTTTCCTAAAATATATACATACGCATGTATAAAATAGTTATAGTTTCTACCTGATAATGAGGAGACAGTGTTTCCCCAGACACCACAGGGCATCAAATTAAAAGCCCAGTGCCAGATATGGAATACTTCTTTCAGAGTTTTTGGTCAATGGTGTACCATATAGTCCTACAGAAAATATTATAGGCTATTTCTATCTCTCATAATTACCTTCCAGAATTGATGATAATGCCTTATTGCTTAAGACACCACATATTTGAATCATATAATGTATAGGAATCAAGCTGGTATCAACCTGGAATTTTCATCTCTACTGGCTAGCTGTCACAGTGTTGGAATGTTCTATGAAAAATGCTATCAGGAGAAAAATAGTCATTAATAGTCTCACCCATATGTGAACCCTGAGAGTTACAACAATGGCTATCATGGTAAGATATATCCACTGGTACAATCATGGCATGAATGTTATGGGAATAACCAATTGATTTCTGATTGGATTTAAGACCCACTCTACAAGATGGAATTATGGTACACATATCATTAACTGGACCACAAAACAGAGGCTGGGTAAGATAGGGTCCCCAGGGGAGAGCTTGGGATTATTATTCTTTTAAATGGACTTAGTAATAAACTGCCTTTTAAGCTCTCTTTTTATACCCATAGATTATTTTATCTCTCAAGACTCATCAGAGAAGCATCTTTCTTCAGCAGATGGTAAGTAACACAGAGACCCATGACTGATCAATGTACAGAAAATAAGAGGCTGTGACTGCACAGTGATTATCTCTAAATGGAGCATCCATATCACATCCCTCCCAGCAAGGCTCAGAGATCATCATGGAAAAGGAGTGGAAAGGTTTTAAGAGTCAGAGGTATCTGTAGCAAAACAGTATTTGCTCTACATGAACTAATAGTGACTGTGAATGCATGCACAAGATTAGCACATGGTCAAGAGGGCCAAAATCTAGCACAGATGGAGGAGGAGCTCATGAATTCTCACCTCTATCTGAGGATCTATTGGCAATCGATGGCTATTGAGGGAGAGTCAGTTTTCTTCAGACTTGTGGTCCATGAGAAGCTACACATACTCCAGTAGATGGTCCAATACCTGTTCACATATAGGAAGCACTAGATAGACTCACCGAGAATTATGTGGTGCGGAGAGCATGGGTTTGAATGAAAAAATGGTAGGGGGCATAGGGGAAGAATTGGAGGGGAGGGAGATGGGGTATGAATTTAATCCAAAAACATTATATGCATGTATGACTATTACATACTATTTCTAAAGAATGTAGAGAATAGTGTAGAGAGGACACAAGGCAGCATTCAATGTCTGTAGACATTGACTGAAGAGACTAAATCAAACAAAATATTAAAGAAATTTATAGTAAAGACTCAGAGAATTCCAAGATTGTCTCTAAATATTTAAGCTAACAAAACACCAAACTATTGACCACATATTAATACAGTAAAATCTAAGTTGGGAACTGTCTTGGTAGGAAGGATAGACTTTTTAATTCATAAATGGAGAAAATTAACTTTGCTTCATTATTAATCACATGAAGTAAGGAAGTCCTGAATTTCTTAAACAGATCTATTTCCATGGATTTTGTTTTTTTTTTACCATGGTTTGACAAATAGGTTACATTGTATCTGATGGGGTTTACCTACTTTACAATTCACAAAGGACTGTCTTTCCTCTCCCCACAAATGTGAGTATCTCTCATGTCAGGCATCACCAGCCCATTTCTGTTCAGAATCCCTTACAAACCTCACTTTGTGAGAGCTCTTGCTCAAAGTAATTTCCTAAGAACTGAGAAATGTGAAGAAAGTTTTCTTTTAATACTATACTAATCCCAAGAGCAAAGGGCTTAACCTAGATTCATTTTGTTAACATGTGCCTTTTCCCAGGAAGAGACAATAGTTTTCAAGAAATTAACTAGTGAAAAATACTATTTGCATTATTTAATTTAATTTCTAGGAGGCAAAAATAAGACTTTTGAAATGCTATTTGAGGATGAAAGAGCATATAGAATATTTCCAAGTTATAGACAGGGTTTAAAAAGACATCAGTTAACACTAGCTTAACAGGTTGGTCTGTGGTCTGTGTTATGTCTACAAATGCAAAGTGGAGTCACAATCCGTATTATTCCTGCTGAATGTGTATTTTGTAGTGAAGTGTTACATAATGGAGAACAATCTGTTTCACATATGATTTATGCAGAACACTGTAACTATTGACTGTGACTTTTGGGACCTTACTATATTGCCAAAAATGACTAGATTATACATAAAAAGGTATATATCCTCTAACTGCAAATTACAAGTACTAATGGAACTGAGTAATTATTGTATAATACTGAGGTTTGTTGACCTATTTTCTGGCCCTCCATTTGCTTTAGGCCTAGCCAGTGAGCCTTAGGAAGACACTTTTGCCTCCATATCTCCATTTCCCTATATAGTCACAGTAAAGTCATCTGTAAATTAAAGCCACTTACAAACCCTTTGCTGTAATTTACAAATAGCTTTATTGTGAGTATATGGGAAAATGAGGATATAGGACAGATGGAGGGCCAGAAAACAGGTCAACAAGCGACCCCTTACAGCTAGACCTCATCTCCTAAAAGTCTCAAGACAGTGCCACCAGCAAGGAATCATCCATTCAAAACATGTTACTTGGGACATTTAACATCTAATCAAACATTCTCAGGGCATTCAAGTGTCTTGCAACATTATCTTTAGGACTGCTAAGTAACACTGTTGAAAAGGAATACTGAATTACACAAGTTCTAAAGCTAGAGATTGAATAATCTTATTATGCTTTCATAACAGAAATAATTCCATTAATGTTCTATGCTAGGACATCTCTGAGGTAGCATTTGGCAAAGATTATGCAAGAACCCCAAGTGTTGTATAAGGCGATTTGTTTTGGATGGAAAAAGTAAGTTTTATATTTATACATACATTGGCTTTCTTACAGCATGCATTTTGTTTCCTATAGTTTGTATATTAGGTTGTAACATAAATTACTATTTTAAATTTAAAACTAGCTTATACTATCCTATACCATATTCTATTTTATATACTGTGTCATTATTATAACTGTGTTAGGAATTAATAATCTTGATTGTAATTACAAAAGAATTGAGACACCAGAGGAAGTTTGTAAAGCATATCTCTACCTATGTCTATTGAGGGTTTTACCAGATACAGTTAGGTATTATGATCTGTGACTTTCTCTGACTTAATCAATGGATTAATCTCTTGATGAATTCATAATATGGTGGCTACTGTGGAGTTGTTGAAAAATAGGCAGTAGAATGGCAATAGTTGGAGAAGTGGGTCACTGCAGGGGTCTTTGGGACTGTATCTTGACACAGTTTCTTCTGTATTCCTCTTCTCTCTACTTCCTGTCTGGCATAAGATGAACTGCCTCTTCTTCTAAATATTCCCATCACCATAATCACCTGCTTTGCCCCAGAACCAGAAAGATGGGGTCAAATGCCTAAGGACTAGATACTGTGAGACAATAAACTAATATAAATAATTCCTCTCTTTAGTTGCTTATCTCAATCATTTGTCACAGCAGTGCAAACATGATGAATACAATGTTGTTGCCAACTTGTTAAGATAATATGTCTTACTACTTATTTCTCAAGACTTTGCCTCACATTCACACCCCTTCTGCCTCTACCTGAGGTTATAGACATGCAGCAGAGGACTTGGGAAATATAACCTATCAAAATAGTTTGCATAGTCAATGCATGCTCAAAAGAACTACTGCCAATGCAGTTTATGATAAGATCATTTTGAAGATCACTGGTGTTGAAAAATTCATTATTTAAGAAAGGAAATAGTGGTTGGTTCATTCATTGGTGACATCTTCATTGTAAGTACTTAACACAGTATATTGGAAAAAAGATTTTGCTGGTTACTCTGGGTGAAGGATGCTTCCTTAAGAACATGAGTGCCTGAAACAGTCCAGTTAAAAAAGGAAAAATAGTGTGCACACACACTCAGCACCTTGGTAATATGTCTCTCCAGAAGCACATAAGTGTTACCTGCTTTCATTAAGGCAGAGTTTCATTTGAATTGGGAAGGCAAATACTAAAAAAGATGCATATTTAAAAAATGAATAGATTCTATTGTTTAGTGAACAGCAAAAACATCCCAACTCCTTGGAGATGTCTGTGACAGTCCCCTCATCACAGACCACCCATGAAAACCAAGAACGGCTTTGAACCTTGATTCTTTGTTGGGCTATTCATAATGTATGATCGAGCATTGATTTTGTTTAAATATTGATAAAACTTCAAGTATCCTGTTAATTTTTTCTTGTGTTATAATGGAAGGAATTTCAGAAAAGCCAGGTCTAAATTTAGTCTACTACAGTTTTATTCATAGGAGATCATCCAGTCTGTAGGCAATTGGAACACTTAGGAATCAGCCATACCTCAAAATTCTGAGGTACACGTAGGTACTCCTCAGCTCAGCAGAGCACAGCAGCAGCAGACACATACGCAGCAGACTGTGGGGTTCATGGAGAGCAGGTTCAGCATGAACCCTACTGTACATGACCTCATTTGTGATAGCATAGTGGAAGAGAAAATAATGTCTAATGACTTACTGAAATATAAACATGGCTCAAGTTTTAGAAAATTGTAGCTGGAAGAGCTAAGCGTGCCTTAGCTGCCTTCAGGTTCCAGGAAACAGTTAAAGCCTGCCTTGTTGCTGAATGAGTCTATCCACTCATTGCTCTTGCCTCCCCCACTTCTCACTCTGATGCTTCATGGGGCAGCTGATGCTAGATCACGCCCTGGCAGAGGCCTTCAGCTCGCCTGTGTGTTTTTCCTCTCTCAGCTGTCACTCCTCAGTTTATCATCCTTACCCACAAAGCCTAGAGGTATCATGTCTACCATAAGCGCTTCCCTGATGCAGAAGGAGAGAAGCCTCTGGAACATGACTAGGTGGCCTGTCTCGCCCTATATGTGCCTGAGGAAATGTGAGAATGTGTGATCCCTATTGCTAGGGATTTCTGGTCATTTTGAAGCACCATTAAAATAATTATCAAAGCTTTAAATTCAGCAGCGAAACACAAAATTCTCTTAATGACAAGGTCAACTTAATTGGGTATCTGTCCTAAGTGAAATATTACTTATAACTGGCATCCACAATTCACTTTAGCATAAAATAATGTGCCAGAATCCTGTTGGAAGACAGTATGCAGAAAGTGAAATTGAATATTAAATTTCCAAATCTGAGTTTTCTCACACAGATTACAAAATACATTATCTACACTGTATATTAACTTACTCTTATATAGACTATATAGTGTTTCAAATAAACAGATTTTAATTGGTCCTGTGATGGCAGGGACTCCAGTTTCTTCTATTCTCATTGTCATAGGAAAGACTTGGTTAAAACATGTGGACCTGATTTCTCATTTGTTCTCATTATTAGTAAAGTGTGTGACCTTTTTGGTCCATTTTTTATTTCCTATGTCCTTGCCTAGAAAGTCAGAGATAATTTTAGCCGTGTGATAATGTTTACTGATAAAAATGTTAATATGTTCTCAGCCCAATGTTCCTAACAGCGACATGACTTACAGGTTTGTAATACTGGCACCTACTCCCATTTATTTTTCCAATAGACTGCCTAATGGAGAAGCATGTTCCACATACTCTTTGCTGTAAACACAAGGTACAGCAGGAGCTCCCCCTCCTTGACCTCAGGGAAACAGAATTAAGTAACGCTTGGCACCCAGCTTCCAACGTGTATAATCATTATGGTAGGCCCAGTGCCAATGCCGTTTATGCATTTAGGAACAACAAGAATGGCAAGTGGCCCACTGAAGAATTAATTAGCAGACCGCCTGGACTCATCAGAATGTAAATAATTACCCTCTGACAAACTTAGTCAGATGTTAGAAGAAATTTCCAGTTGGGATTGATGTCAATGGCCACAATTCCTTATTTAAAAGCTACCAGTGGGTAGATTTTTGTATAGAATTTGAAAGATGTCTCAGTAAAGTTACAGGCCACAAGTGCCACTCTTCTCTGAGCATAGATGCCACAGTGGTCTGCCGTTTCCCTCACCCTCTGACCCAGACTGCTAGGCAAACTTCTTCCCCTTCAAGATGGATCCTAGCATCATCTTACTTGACAGAATAATAGATTGATGGTATGGAATGACTTGTTCAGCAAAACGTTAAGCCTTCAAAGCAGGGGTTTTTGCCTTCTGCTCCATCCCTGGCGAGGGAAGACCTCCTCAGGTGTTGCTTGTATTCTCCAGTAGTCAAATTTAACTCTGGCTGGACACCATATTGAGAACTAAAATACCAATAATTGGTTAATTACTTAATTTAGAAAATGGTGAGTATAACTACCTAGGTCAGAGTTTCAAAACCTGTGGGTCATGACCCCCTTCAGGGTGTGGACGCGTATCAGATATCCTGTGTAACAGATACTTACATTACGACTCATCTCATAAGAGAAGCAAAATCACAGTTAAGAAGTAGCAATGAAGTAATTTTAAGGTTTGGGGGTCACCTCAGCATGAGGAACTCTATTAAAGGGTCTCAGCAGTAGGAAGGTTGAGACTTACTGGTCTACATTCATTCTCTCCCCAATTCAACATACAAGGAGCTGCTGTAGAAACCCCAAAGCCATCTTAGGCAACAAAAGAAAAAATGAAAGACGAGTACCCAGTATGATACATTTGTCTCCACAAAGCCCTTAAGAATTCAACTAGATCAGGAGTTTTCTTGGCTCAGATGAGCTTCGTGGAGCTTAGATATGGGGGAGGGAATGTGGAGCTGAAATTGTTTCAGTCCTCAGGACCACTCTCGCACTCTCATACCAAAACACTGCAGACGATTGTGAGAAGAGTGTAGTCCATTTCCTCATAAATACTACAGCATCCATCAAAATACGTTTCACAGAATGGCATATCCTTCTTAACTTGGAGAGGACAATGGCATCGTCAAGTGGTGAAAGTCAGCTGAATTATTTTGGGCTCAGAATGTGCACCAGGTAATCCCCTTTGTCCTTTCAAGGAATTTGGCATGAAAGCATCCCTATCATTGATAGGTTCACCCTGAGGAGTTGGCACTCAGAGCATTGCTAACCTTGCATAAATATGGGCCCCCTCAAAGTTTCTTTGAAAAGCACCCTTACTGTTAAATCACTTCTTTGGGGAATGACTTGAGTTGATGTAACTAAACTCAGGCAACTCAGTCCTTTGGTTAAAGAATGGTAACTGTGTTCTCTATTTTTAGATAACTAAGGATTCCACGTGCTGCCTGTGACTCAGATGAGTTGACACAATTTTAATATACAGCACAGTAAAACCTGTCTCAGCCTTCCACCCTTGGGAACAGGAAAATCAGTTGCTTAGTGGAGGCAGTCTTTAACAAAAGGTCAAACAAAATTGTTCTGGAGACCTTGGGAGGCACTAAGTAGCTGTTTTAGACAAGGAGCTACTTATAGAAGGTGAGCCTTTCTAGAAGGCATCAGCTAGCTGTCTCCATGAAAATGACAGTACCCCATGTTCACTTCCTTGGTCTTCAGCTTTACTTTCCTTCAACTCTATGCCCAGGAATACACAAAGGCTTGACAGAAATTGAGATTTGCGTGAGGTCATGAATTTAGTAAAAGAAAAAATATTCAAACCATGAGATCATGATTCTGCTTGAATGGAACTCCTACATGAGGTATGCTTGAATTGCAATCCAGAGGGATCCACAAAAATTTTGGATCCCATGCCCCCACCCCACCCCATCACATCCCTTGCCAAACTTAAGTAATTTCTTGAAATCTACACACACACACACACACACACACACACACACACACACACACACAATGTTGGGTTGGATTCTAACTGTCCTAATCATTAGGCTGTCTAAAAAATCCCCACTGGTGGGTGCTTGCTGACTATTTT